CTTTCCTTTCCTTTCCTTTCCTTTCCTTTCCTTTCCTTTCCTTTCCTTTCCTTTCCTTTCCTTTCCTTTCCTTTCCTTTCCTTTCCTTTTCTCTTTTCCCTTCCCTTCCCAAACCTTCCCAAACCTTCCCTTCCTTTCTTCTCTTTTTTTTCAGAAATGGGTCTATATTTTTAATTTGTTAGGTTTTTTCCTTAAGACTTTTAGCCTGTAAAGTCTTGCATTTGAAATAACTAAGTCCTGGCAGATGAAAAATAAAGTTACGCAAGTCACTTTTGTGACTTCAAATTTTATCCTAAGACAGTCAGAGAAAGGGAAAAAAAATTCATTTGATTTTTATTTTAATCTGAAAATATACAGTGTAGATCCACTAGACTCAGACACCATCTTAACAACATATGCAAAATTTATCCTACAAATACTGTTGTTGGGTAGTTAGGATTTTCAGGTTGAGAAGCTATCTAGAAGAGAAAAAAATAATTTCCAAGAATGATCACTTGAGAGGAAGAAAAAAAAAATCAAAATCTTATTTAGGAGTCTTAGAAGGAAAAAGTAAACAGCTTGTCACTTCTAAGTAGGGGAAAATTTTGAATACCCTCAAGGCAGAAGTCTTAACAGGCATCTATAAGCTATTTGATTTTCTGTCTTTTACTCCCCAGTGTCATCCTTGGTCAGTGTCACCCTTCTCCTCATTAAGGAGCATCTAATGGCATTTACATGCCATGTTCAAATAGCTTCCCTTCAAAAAGGCTTCAAAATACAGTCTCTTCCTTTGGATCTCTGCATTCAATTGTATGTTATGCTTTTGCAACAGGGGAAAGAAGGAGGGAAATGTACCAAGTCCTTTTGCCCCCCAGTACAGTGCAGAAAAAAATCTACCTTTATAAATACAACTCGGGTGCTGACTGGCTGGCACCTGCTTACCCTAATGAGCTTAAAATCTTATTTGCAGTGGACATCTGTCAAGACAGAAGTGAGGTACGCAAGTCCTCTTAATCCATTAGCTCTAAATCCAGCACAGCTTTCACACTCCTTTTTTGAATCAAAGAAAACCAATGTCGGAATATACAATGGAACAGCGCACAACTTCAAGAGCAGATACTGTGCAATAAGTACATGAGATTTCAAGGCAAACAACAATCAAAACTGAAAACAAAATTGGGATCATGATGGAAAACTCCTGAGAAACAGGCCAGTGTGAAGTTCAGGATGAAACAGTGAGTTTGATTCTTTCTTCTGTTTTCGCTAGTTCATCTTGATTTTTAATCAAAAATAAAGACGAAGAAAGGATGGGCTGCACACCTTCTCACAACGAGATTGCTAGTACTGCTTCAAGAAGTGGTCTTAAGGCTTTGAATAAACCCAAAAGTGTTTTGCCAATCGATCCGAGAGATAAGGGAATCCCTCTGCTGGTTAAAGGTTCTTCTTGCTACAATATTGATGAATTACGCCAATATGGGATCCAGAGGAATGACTACCTGGAAGAAGAGGAGGATAAACTATCAGAGCAGGACAAAAATGATAATTTACAGTTATCTTCCAAGGCTCATTCAGATTCTCAGATTCCCAGGGAAGACAAGAAAATTGAGAGGACAGCAACAGATGCTGAAGTCATTATGTCTGAACTGATTGAGTCTCAAAAGCACATCACTGAGTCCATACAAATCAGAAAGCAAACCTCCTGTGAATCAGAACCAGCAGCTTTCGTTTGGGATGACAAGAATGAAAGCAACGCAAAGCAAATCCCCAAGAAAGGAAAGAAGCCAAAAAATAAGCTGGCAAAGCAAGGTCGACCTAGCAAAAGTAAAGAAAAGTCCATTTTGGCCCCATGCGAGGCAGAGAAGAAGGTAGATTTCCCAGAACCGCTCGTTAGGGCTCACCAGAGTGCTTATGCCTACTTAAATCCCAACCTCTCCAAGTATGAAACTATACTGCACATGGCCAGCCAGGCTACCCAAACTCAGCTCTTCCTACAACAGATGATAAGCTTTCTTGTGCTTCGCTTCGATGAAATCAACCAACTCTTGGAAGAAATTACCAATGATGGGGAAAATCTCCTCAAAGATGTAGGTGGGAATCTGGCGTGGCCAGCAGAAAAAGACGATTTGAAGGAGCACCCTGATCTTCTGCAACAACTACTGCAGTACACGGTCAATAAAATGCAGTTAGTGAGCGGGATGCTGACCTCCCTCACCTCCAACGCCCTGCAGGAGACATGCAGCTACCTGCAGTCTGCTGCAAGCAACTTGGAAGGCAAACTGAAAGCCAAACAAAGCTTTGATGAACACCTGCTGCGGACGGTAAGGCTGCTTGAAGCCTCAACTGTGGGTTGCTCTCAGTCCCATGGTGAGGACAGGACTCTCTGTTCGGAGGACAGTGGCATTGGTGTGGACAATGAATCCCTCAAAGAGTTCAGTGCTCTCAGCCAGCATGGAGGACAAACAAGTGATTCTTATGGACACGGACCTCCATCCCAAAAGCATGCCAGAACAGTAGGGGGCATGAAAGATGGGACAGTGTCACCAGGCACAGCTGCATCCCGTGACTGTGCACTTGAAAGGCATTTTAAAGGCATGTTTCATTCTTCCATGCAAAACAAGGAAGCGACTTCTTCCCAGGATGGAGTACCAGAAGACACTTCTACCATGCCCCAACATGCCAGCTTGAGCAAAAGCCATTCCTACAACTCCTTCCAGTCTGATTCTACTCAGGAATGTGAACATTTCAAAATCTATGAATCAAGAGATTTTCTTTCTGATGAGGATGATGATGATGACGATGATGATGAAGGGAGCACCCTGGGGGAGGATGATGATGACACAAGTTCATCAGAAGTGGGGAAGGATGGTCTGCCAAGGAGGCCCCTGTCTTCACCTGCAATCACTGATAGCACACATAGGCAGTCCATCAAGAGGACGGAGAATGTGGATACAGAAGAAATTATTCTGAAGATGAAAGATGCCATCAGTGAAAAAATCAAGTTCGTCCCGGCTAAATCCAGGCGTAAAGAATGGACAGAGGATGAGAGTGGAAGAGCAGTCCTAGCAAAAAGGCCCAATACAGCAACAGGCAGCCAGAAAACATTTGGGAAACAACGACGGTCCAGGTCAGAGGAGTCCCTCAGAAGCCAGGCAGAGGACCCAACCCTTCTAGAGCTTCAGAGAACTCAAAAAGAGCTCAGCAAAAGGCTGAAAATGTTTTATGGAAAGGANACAGTAATTTTTCCGTTTTAGGATTTTTTTTAGGAACCTAACTTCTTCCTTCTTACTCGCTCTGTCCTCTGACATATGTGCTATTATTCAGCAACTGTATTAAATCAAATTGGTTAAAGAACAAACAGCTAACCATTAAAAAAACCCCTATGTATTTTATTGTGATTTTAGTACTCAGTTATATTAAATGATTCATTGTATAAATGAAACATCTGTTTCTAAGTGTGAATCAACTAAATCCATATTCATATGTGTCAATATAAAGCACAGTCTGAAAACTGATGCATGTGCTTGTGAAAAAAGCTTACCTTGATTCTTCTTATCAAATGATTGTGCAAGGCACAAGATTTTAAATTTTTTAGCACTGAAAATTGGATTACATGGAACAAACATAAATTTGTACAAGCTAAGGATTAGTTCATGAAAATCTCCATGATTTTAAAGCTATAATACTGCATTGATAACACCTTTTGAAAAAGAAAATTGTGCTCCTTGGCAAGTGAGAAGGCTTTTGGTACCATTTGTTGTGGGTGTATGTGTCTAATAACATTCTAACTGTACTGAAAATATTTGTGGTTGTATGATGGATTGACCTTGGCTGGCCATCAGGTGCCCACCAAGCCACTCTATCACTCCTCCTCAACAGAACAGAGGGACAAAATACAATGAAAAAGGTCATGATTTGAAATAAAGACAAGAAGTTCACTCACCAATTACCATAATGGCAGAACAGATTTGATTCAATTTAGTTGAATTTATTCTAATTATTAAGAACAAACCTAAAAACTCCTACCCCCTCACAGCTCACTTCTTTCCAGGTTCAACTTTTCTCCCAACTCATCTACCTCCTCCCCGTAAGTAGCTCAGGAGGATGGGGAAAGTAAGTTGTGGTCAGCTCATAAGGCTTCATACCTGTTGGTCCTTCCCCCTCACACTTGTACCCTGCTACAGTTTGGATCCCTCCAGTGGGATACAGTCCTTCACAAACTTCCAACATCTCTCCTTCCCACTGGCTGCAGTGCTTCAAGAACAGCTCCATAGTAGGTCCCTTCCATGGGGTGGAGTTTAGAGTCCTTTAAACTGTTCCAGTGTGGATCCCCTACAGGTCACAGTTTCTTCCAGAAAACCTGCTCTAGTTCGCGCTCCTCTCCATGGACCTCGTCCTGTCAGGAACCTGTTCCTGTGTGGAGTCTCTGTGGGCTGCAGCTTCATTCGTGGATAATGTGGTCCACTGTAGGATCCTCCACAGACTGCTGGTGGATATCTGCTCCGCTGTGGTCCTCCATGGGCTTCGAGAGGACACTGTGCCACCATGGTCTTCTCCATGGGCTGCAGGGGAGTTTCTGTTACAGTATCTGAAGCACCTCCTCCCTCTCCTTCGTCTCTGATCTTGGTGCCTGCACAGTTGTTTCTCTTCTATTTATTTAATCCTCTCTCAAAGCTACTGCACAACAATTTTTACCACCTCTTTAAAATATGATATCACAGAGATGCCACTGACACAGATAATGGGCTCAGCTTTGATCGTGTGTGGGTCCATCTTGGAGGCAGTTGGAGCTGACTCTTCCTGACACAGGGACAGCTCCTAGACTCTTCTTGTAGAAGTCACCCCTGTAGCCTCCCTGTTACCACAACTTTGCCATGTAAACCCAACAAAGATTCTAAAGGTTTACATTGTAAAATTGAAATTCTTATACAATACCTAAAGCTACTCAGAACAGAGTCAATCTGTCATCAATCCACTGCAAAATCTGGCTCATACCTTCATAGAGATATGACCAACTATTTTCACATATCATTCAAACATGATGATCTTTTGCTCTTTTGAATACTTGCATGAATTTTCAGCAGTGTTTTATAAATCTAATAAATAACTTTTCTG